TCGCTTGGCCGGCCCCGAGGCCCGGCGAGGGCCCCCCGAGGCCGAAATGCGGCCGCAAGCTTGCCGCCCTGCTTTCTGTTACGACGCGATCATGTCTGTAGGGAGGGCGAGGGGAGGGCGGCCGCGGGGAGGGGCCTGGGACAAGGCTGGGCGCCCAGGGCCGCGGAGAGCAGATCGCAAGGAGGCTCGGAGCAGCCAGCGGCGGACCCGAATGCCGCCCTGGCCCTCCTGCTGGCATCCGCGGGCCCTGGCACCAACCTCGAACCCGCGGGGCTGGCGTCCACAAGGGGGCCCAGGAGCACACAAGGAAAAAAAAAACACAAGTCCCAGGAGTCCCCGTATGTTCCCATAGTTTCTGGGTTCTCGCTTCCCCCCCCCCCCCACACTTCCCACAGTTTCCCATCTTTTCCCAGGAGTCGACGATGAATTGTGTCTGTGTGCTTTGTCCCCCTCCTGAGTCCACCAGGGCCGACGTGTCGGCCGGGTGCCCACAGCACATCGCCAGGGGTGCGTCCATCAAGGGGGCTTCTCCCCCCACACCCTGGCGGGGGGCCGATGACCCGCCCCGCCCGCCCTTTTCTCGAGCAGCACCCGGCTGCCCCCCCCCCCCCTCAGGGACGGCCCACATGCCGCGGCGACGCCTCGCTCCGACACCCAGGGGCCAGCGAAGGTGCGCGGGGAGGGGCCCGTCTGCGGGGGACTCCCTGCTGAGGGCCCCGCCGGGACCCGAGCGGGATCGGTCAGGACCAAGTCAGCCGTGCAAGCCTCGGGCCGCAGCGCAGCCTCGGAGCAGCGGAGCCGAGCGGGGTCGGCCGGATCGACCTGGGCTCTGAAGGGGCACAGGGCCGATCGGTCGATCGAGCACTTTTGGTGGGTGGATCTCTCAGGATCTCCGCCGCCTCTGGCGGTGCGCGTTGCGAGCAGGAGCACAGCAAAGCCACAGGAAACCGCGGCATTGACAGCGTAGCTCCGCACACGCGACGCATCGATCGACCGAGCTGGACGCATCGGCGATCCACGTGGGGGCTGGGCCCCATGGCTGGGGGCCTCCCGTCCTCAGGGGGCCCCCGCCCCGCAGGAACCGCCGAAGCCTGCCCAAACTGGGCAGGGACCACCGCCCGCCCTCCCTGAGCTCCGACGCAGCGAACGAGGAAGAGCCGGCCTCGCAAATGACTACCTCCCAGACCACCCCAACCCAACCCGAAGACCCGAATGTCGAGTTGGGGGGGGGGTGCGGGTTCCATATGAGTTTTTGTCGATGCTCCCCGATCCCCCCCCCAGCCTGGAAATGGAGGGCAAATGGAAGCCTTCGGGTTGGGTTGGGTTGGGGTGGTCTGGTGGGCGGTGAGTAAAGATCACGCCCGGAGCCCCTGACGTGGTGACGAGGGCTCTCCTGGAAGAGCAGCGGCATCGGCATCCCCTGAGATCCGCCCTTGCAGAAAGATGCGACATCGCCAAAGCTCACGACTGGAGCCCCGTACCCCCTCTTCCTGCGTCATGTTTCAAGCCGGATCGATCTGTGAGGGTCCCGGCGCCCGACAAACAGGCGAAAGCGCCGGGCTCGAACAAATTCTGACGCCAGGATCTCAGGGTCCCCCCATGGGAACCGCCGAACCCTGCCCAGAGGGGCAGGAACCGCCATCCGCCTTCGTCCGCGTTCTTGCCAGGCCCACTCCGATCGTACCGACCCGCGTCCTCCCAGCAGTAATAGGTCGGACATGTCCTCCTACAGATGGATTTTGGAAGAAAAATGAAAAATAGCAAAACCAAATTCAAACAAAAATGAAAAATGATAGAACAACCGTCCCCTGACATGTTTTGGGGACTATCTTTGAATTGTCCTCTTCTAGAGGGACATGCCCGACACACAGAAGTGGGGGCTGGGCTGCGTGCGTCCTCTGGGGGCCCCGCCTCGAGGATCCCCCTCGAGGACTGCATGGCCCCCCTCGAGGATCCCCCCCCCCGGCGGACTGCAGGGGCCTCCCCACCCCCGGGACTGTAGTACACGGGGCCCCCCCCCCCAGACTACGGACTACACAGGCCGCCCCCCCCCCCCTGGACTGCAGCCTCCGAGCGGCCCCCCCGCGTCCTCCCAGTAGTTCTTCTTGGCCGCCCGCGCCACGGCGGCCGTGCACTTGATCGGCTGGCCCGCCGCGAAGCCCCGCCCCGCGCGGTGCCCGGCCAGCGCCCCCCGGGGCGCGGGGCGCCGCAGGGAGCGCCGGAGAGCCGCTCGGCACAGGGCCGCCATGGCGGAGCTCTGCCGCGCGGTGCCCGGGGGAGCGGAGGAGCAAGAGGGCGGCAGGTGCACAAGCTCTCGGAGGCCCTCCCTCCGTGCCTCCCCCTGATCCTCCTCCTCCTCCGCCTCCTCCTCCTCCGGATCCTCCTCGTTAACCAATTCCTCCTCCTCCTCCTCCTCCTCCTCCTCCTCCTCCTCCTCCTCCTCCATCCCTGCTCCTGATACACAACTCCTCCCTGCAGTAAGAAGGGCCGGGCGTTTCGCCCGAGACTTCCCCACCATTTCTGTCCTTGAAGCATGAGTTTTGCAACAGCTTCAAGGATGGAGGGCGGAGCATTCTCAGAATATGTCTCTCGCCTGTGCGCCGCGCACACTCGCCTCGAAAGTTTGCAACGGCTTCAATGAGGGAGGGCGGGCCGTTTATAACATTGGCGCTCGCACATTGGCAATGCCACATAGGTATTAAAAACTTGCTGCAACTTCAAGGGAGGAGGGCGGGCCGTTTGCAAAATATGGCTCTCGCCCTCTCGCCTCAGCGCCGATCACATTCGACAGAAAGCTGGCAGAAGCTTCAAGGATGGAGGGCGGCTCCTTTTCAACATGTGATTGACGCCTTAGCGCCGCGTACAATCGGGTTAAGAAATTGCATCTGGAAGAGAAATGCGCATGATCGAATTCCCAGTACATAATGGTGTTCTGACATGGTTTACGATGAACAGAATGCCATAGTCACGTTGATTCGCTGTGTTGAGGTCCCAGTGATAGCGTTACGGCATGGCTTAGAATTGTCAGGACGCAGCAGTCACGTTCATTCGCGGCGAACTCCCAGGACCGTTGTTTTGGCACGGTTGAGGGTTCTCAGACGATGGCCTTCCAAGTAGGCATTTGCCACAATGAACATAAATTTCTTGGAGGGACCAACGAAGAGAGAACTTATAGGGAGGGTTGATTGAAACATGGCTGATGCGTATTTGGTTTACGCTCCTCCTCCTCCTCCTCCTCCTCCTCCTTCTCCTCCTCCCTCTCCTCCTCCTCCTCCTCCTCATCCTCCTCCTCCTCTTCCTCGTTCTCTTCCTCTTCCTCCTCCTCCCCCACCTCCTCCTCCTCCTCCTCCTCCTCCGCCTCCTCCTCCTCCACCTCCTCCTCCTCCTCCTTCTCCTCCCTCCCCCCTCCTCCTCCTCCTCCTCCTCCTCCTCCTCCTCATCCTCCTCTCCTCCTCTCCTCCTCCTCCTCCTCCTCCTCCTGATCATCCTCCTCCTCCTGATCATCCTCCTCCCCCTCCTCCTCCTCCTCCTCCTCCTCCTCCTCCTCCTCCTCCCTCGCCCTCCTCGAGCCTGGTTGGTGCACCGAGCAGCCCCCCTGGTCACGCCTGCGTGCGACGACGACCCCCTCCTCCTCCCTCCCCCTGTTCCTCCCGCCCCCAAGGAGGTCGGCGCTGACCCCTCTGGCCATCGCCTCCGACGCCGCCACTGGCGCGCTCCGCGCGCCAGAGAGGGGAGGCTCCCGCGCCGATCCAAAAAATCCGCGTGGGCCTCCGAAAGGTTCTGTGCATGCCGTTTGCTCCTCTTCGATGGGAACAGCGGCAGCGGAAAACGCACCCCTTGAGAAGCTGAGGCCGAGCACGACGCGCCCTCGCCCTGTTGCTCTTCGGGGGAGGCCCATGGGATAACCAACGGCGGCGCTCCCGCCCAGCCCAAGTCCGCTCAAAATCGGCCCCTGGACCCCCTTCGGGGGGTCATCCTGACACGTTTCTCGAGGCGGATCCAGGGAGGAGGAGGAGGAGGAGGAGGAGGAGGAGGAGGAGGAGGTCCCGCCCAGCCCAAGTCCGCTCAAAATCGGCCCCTGGATCCCTCCGGGGGGTCATCCTGACACGTTTCTCGAGGCGGATCCAGCCGTGGCGGCGACGACCGAGGCAGAAAGGCGCCTAGGGAAGGCCGCCGCCGCCTCGACTGGCCCGATTTTCAGGAGGCAGGTCCCAGTCATGGCGACGACAAGCCGACAGGTCGCCCAGAAAGGCAGAAAACTCCTCCTCCTCCTCCTCTTCCTCCTCCTCCTCTTCTTCCTCCTCCTCCTCCTCCTCCACCTCCTGCTCCTCCTCCTCCTCCTCCTCCTCCTTCCCTCCTCCTCCTCCTCCTCGTCCTCCTCCTGATCTCCTCTCCTGCTCCTCCTCCTCCTACTCCTCCTCCTCCTCCTCCCTCCTCCTCCTCCTCCTCCTCCTCCTCCTCCTCCTCCCCCCCCTGCTCCTCCTCCTCCTCCTCCCTTTCCTCCTCCTCCTCCTCCTCCTCCTCCTCCTCCTCCTCCTCCTCCTCCTCCTCCTCCTGCTCCTCTTCCTCCTCCTCCAACTCTTCCTCCTCCTCCTCCTCCTCCTCCTCCTCCTCGTCCTTTTCCTCCTCCTCCTCCTCCAGCCAAAAAAATGGGCATGGGACGCAGAACTCAGACGAATACTATACGCACCCCTTGGAAGCGCGGTCCGGACCACAAGTATACCGTTAACCCGGCGGTCTGGCCAGAAAACGCCCGCCACCGAAGATATACTCGAATATGTCCGTCTTGAAATCTTCTTGGGCTTCTACAGTCAGGGCGCTGACCTACGGAACCCTAAATGAGGAACGAGGCCCCGTTTTCCATAAGGTAAACTTCGATGCCACGTCGAAAGCATGAGGAATACCTGAGGCAAGCTGCGAAACAATTAAGGAGCACGGAGCCCCTCCTCCACGAAAAGGATTTCTTCTTCAGCGGCCCGACTGCACGGAGGGCTCATGGGACCGCTCTTGAGCGTTCTTGTAAGCGTCGTAAGGGGTTCTTGTGGTGCCCTTGAGGTCATTTGAGGCCCACTCGAGCCATCTTGCGGGCATCTTGGCACAGTCGTGAGCACTATTCGGGTTTGCAGGATCTCTTTGGAAAAACGGCCGTTGCTAGCAACGACGTTGTCATCGTCGTCCGTCGTCGTCGTCGCCGTCGTCGCCGTCGTCGTCGTCGTCATCGTCGTCGTCTCAATTGTCTGTCCCGTCGGCGTCGTCGTCGTCGTGGCCGTCGTCGTCATCGCCGTCACCGTCGTCGTCCGTGGTCATCCGTCGTCGTCGTCGTCGTGGTTGCCGTAGTCGTCGTCGTCGTCGTCGTCGTCGTCGTCGTCGTCGTCGTCGTCGTCCGTCGTCGTCGTCGTCGTCGTCGTCGTCGTCGTCGTCGTCGTCGTCATCCTCGTCGTCCGTCGTCGTCGCCGTCGCCGTCGTCCGTCGTTCGTCGACCTTCGTCCGTCGTCGTCATCGTCGCCGCCGTCGTCCATCGTCGCCGTGGCAGTCGCTGTCGTCCGTCGTCCGTCGTCCGTCGTCCGTCGTCGCCGTCGCCGTCGCCGTCGCCGTCGTCGTCGCCGTCGTCGCCGCCGCCGTCGCAGCCGTCGCAGTCGCCGACGTCGTCGTCTATCGTCGTCGCCATCCGTCGCCGTCGTTGTCGTCCTCGTTGTCGTCCTCGCAGTCGCCGTCGCCGTCGCCGTCGTCCGTCGTCAACGTCGCTGTTGTCGCCGTCGCAGTCGTCCGTCGTCGTCGTCGTCCTCGCAGTCGCCGTCGCCGTCGCCGTCGCCGTGGCCGTCACCGTGGCTGCGGCTGTCGCCGTCGTCCGTCGTCCGTCGTCCGTCGTCCGTCGCCGTTGACCTCTTCGTCGTCGCCGCCGTCAATGGTCCGACGTCCGTGAACGTCGTCGTGGTCGTCGTCGACGTCATCGTCCGTCGTCCGTCGTCTGTCGCCAACGTGCGTCGCCGTCGCCGTCGCCGTCGCCACCGCCGTCGCCGTCGACGTCACCGTCGTTCGTCGTTCGTCGTCCGTCGTCGTCCGTCGTAGCCATCTTCGTCGTCATCGCCGTCGCCGACGCAATCGTCTGTCGTCGTCGCCGTCGTCGTCGTCGCTGCCGTCGTCCGTCGTCGTTCGTAGTCCGTCGTCGTCGTCCGTCGTCGACATCGTCGTCGTCGTGGTTTTCATCGTCATCGCCGTCGCAGTCGCCGCCGTCCGTCGTCCGTCGTCGTCGCCGTCGTCCATGGTCCGTCGTCTGACGACGTCGTCCGTCGCCGTCGTCGGCGTCGTCGTCGTCGCCGTCGTCATCGCCGTCGTTCGTCGTCCGTCGTCCGGCGCTCGTCGTCGTCGTCGTCATCGTCGACGTCGCTGTCGTCGCCGTCGCAGTCGTCCGTCGTCGTCGTCGTCCGTCGTCTGTCGCCGTCGTCGTCGCCGCCGTCGCCGCCGTCGCAGTCGTCGTCGTCCGTCGTCCGTCGTCGTCGCCGTCGCCGTCGCCGTCGTCGTCGTCGTCGTCCGTCGTCGTTCGTCGTCGGTCATCCGTTGTCGTCGTCGTCCATCGTCCGTCGCCGTCGTCGTCGTCGTCGTCGTCGCCGTCGCCGTCGCCGTCGCCGCCGTCGTCGTCGTCGTCGCCAGTCGTCGTCGTTTGTCGTGCGTCGCTCGTCGTTCGTCGTCGTCGTCGTCGCCGTCGTCGTTGTCATCGTCATCGTTGTCGTCGCCGTCCGTCGTCGTCGTCGTCGTCGTCGCCGTCGTCGTCGTCCGTCGTCCTCCGTTCGTCATCGTCGTCGTCATCGTCGTCGCTGTCGTCGTCGACGTCGCCGTCGACGCCGTCGTTCGTCGTCTGGCGTCCGTCGTCGTCGTCGTCGCCGTCGTCGTGCGTCGTCCGTCGGTCGTCCCTGCACGTCGCCAGGCGGCGGTGGGGGGCCGCCTCCGCGCTCGGCCCGCGGCGCTTCCTCCTCGCGGCCGGGCCGACTGGGCCGGCGGCCGAGCAGGGAGGGGCCCTGAGATCCTGGCGCTGCAGCTTTCTCAGGGGGCCCTTCGGGCGGCTTCGGAATCTGTTGGGCCGTTCGAGCCGCCTGTTTGGCCACCTAAGCCTCCTGGAGGCTGTTTGGGGGACGACTCGGAGTCGTATGGGGCCGCCCTGACGGCTGTCCGAGCGCTCCCAGGAGCGACTTTGGCCACTGAAGCCCGTGCTTGTGATCAAGGTGCCGGCCCGCAGGCCCCTGTGCCTCT